TAAGATTATAAATTTTGAATTAATTATAAAAAGAATTAAACATTTCAAATTTTCTTATTTCGGTATGAGCTAAAACAGAGAAATTTTCAATGTAAACAGGAGGTTTATCCTCTGTGAAGTCATTTTCTGAAAACTTTTTTAATTTTTCAGGCCCAACTTTCAATTATAAAATAAAAATCACACTTTAGTATGAAGGTATGTTAAAATGTCATGTCTGGCTAGTCCTGTTTTGAAAAATTCGGTGTAATAATACTGACCTAAATTTTCTGTTTTCAAAATTTGTGAAAACTTCTTCATACTGTTGAAAGATTCATGTCTGTCTATATCTGTGGTGCACAGCGTAAAAACACCTTTGCAAAACGGACACCTTTCTTGACAAAATAATTTGTAGTTGTATCATATGTAACTCGATTTTGAAAATTTTTAAAGTTTTTTGAAGGAGAAGAATTGATTACTTTAAGTGCAAATTATAAAAAATACATTCCGTAGACTCCTAAAACCCAACGGCGATAAAGAAATGCCCAATACGACAAATAAGAGGTAAAGTTCTCGGCGGCCTGAAACATAAAATGACACAATTAATAGGAACTAAAACCTACTTACAAAATAATTGTAGCCTTAACCATTTAATTAAAAAATAATTTTTGAAAAATTCAGTGTTCAGTTTCAAATAATAAATCTCATCTGTCCTCACCGGATTATTAAGAAAATGAATACAATAAAATCGGCAACGTAAAAGACATAAGTTATAAACGGAAATTGAACGCGAAATTATTCCTAAAATTACAAGTAACAAAGGTAGGCATGCAAAATTTGCGCATATTCTCTCCCGAGTAGCGAGAGACCTTTTCAAAAATTTGTAAATTCTTTTCTCTTTTTTTTTTTTTAAAAAAAAAAATTCTATTCCTGAAATTAATACCAGGGTGCCAGGAGAAGGTTACACTTGGAATATTGGAAATTTTGGGTTATCAAAAATATTAATCACACCCATTTCAACCCCTCATGGGAAAAAGTTTTATAAGCATGCTAATGCAACACTAGAACACGTTTTTCTATGGGTGTGCGATCACGTGTTTCAATGTATATTGCATTTGATACAAGCTTTTCGGAATTTGTTAGATGCTTATGACAGGTAATTTAAATGCGACCGAAAAATGCCAGCCTTAATAGAAAATTGTTATTCCCATTTCCATTTTTAATGTAAAACCAATTGAAGTGGATCCTCTGCCCTTTTGGACTTAAGTTCGTAAAACAGAAATGTTGTTGGATCTTATACAGCATACCTGACATAAATTTAAAATTATTTTAAGAACCCAATAATGAGCCTGTAAATGAAAATTACAACCGCGTCCGTATCAAATTTTAATTTCAAACGTGCGTTCGTTATCAAATTTCGTAAAAATCAAATTAATTTTTTGAAAAATTTAATACATGTCTTTCTAATGCAAAGTTTAAGTAAAAAGATCCAAAATTATTTTTGAAGTTTATGGTGAACTCTGAAAACGGAGTAAATAATTGATTTGAAGGAAAAACGATGATAAAGCAATATGAACTGCTGTAATACCACACATTTTTCATAAAAATTTCTGTTGCCCACTTATTGCAAAATTTCGCTAAAACTTTTTTTATTTTACAAAATAGTTTGTGCCCAACAACATAACCGAAAGGCGGAAAATAGTTGGCGTGTTAATACATATATCTTGGTTTTCAGTCATTTCCCCAACCCAAAAGAGTTATAAACAAAAACATACATTTTTCGCTCCAAGATGGCGGCGTTTTGTTTTTAACATTTTGTAGGATACGACGCGAGTTTTGATTCCCAGCCCTGTTAATACCAGGTATTGGGAAAAAATATTTACATGGGTCATATTTAACTGTCTATCCCTGAAAAAGGTTTTAAGAATTTATATTTAAAATAGATAAAACTATAATTGATTTTGAGAAGCTATACTCTTAGCAGGGTTTTATATTTTTATGTGAGGCAACAGACATATGCTTTAACAAAAACAACCCGAATTGTTTTACCAAGGCGCCAAGGGGGAAAATATTTTGATATATACACTGAAAACACAACTGATTTTAACAGCATTTCAACTGATGAATATGGACCTCCATCAGTAATTAAAAACCATGATTGATGCTCCATCTTTAGTAGTTAACTGAAATCTTTCAAAATTGGAAATGGGTGTTCCCAAAAATTAAATCGAGGCCAAGAGTAAAATCCACACTAAGGATTTTAAACAGTCGCTAATGTTTTGTTTAATTTTGTAGGGAATTATTTTGAGGGCACAAACAGATAAGCCCAAAAATCAAAATGTTTTTTGGCAAAAGATTTCGTCTGCTGAAAACCGTGGACTTCGCAAAAAAATTCGCGCAAAAGGGTAAGCTTTTAAAATTAGGATTTTAAAAACTTAACATATACACCTAAATAATTTTCTTCTTTTCCCAATGAATACAATATTTTTATTAGTTACATGTTTTACATATTCATCCTCCCCCTCACCCTTGGGTTTTCAAATCCGCAGGGGACTTTGGATTCTTTCATGTGAGGAAGCTATCCAGCTAGCTTACGCAATGTTGGTGGTTCTACTTAGGTGCCCGTTCATGCCTGAAATAATATCCGGAAGCGCACCTGAGGTCTTCCTCCACAAGTAAAGCTGGAACATCGCCATATGACAGTGTTGGTGCAAGGTAAAACCCAACCAAAATAAAAACAAAAACATACTCATCCTTAGTCCACTGAATCATCTATTTGATTGTAATTTCATTGTTATTTTTTCTCTGCTAATTTAGAAATCCTGTAGTAGTAGTAGTTGCCAAGTTACCAGACTACTTATCCCACATAATTTCTGACTCAGAAAAAAGGAGAAACATGACCATTTTGCACTCAATTTGTGAACCGAAGGTTCAGGGTGAGCTATTAGTATTAAAGGGGGATACTCCGGTGTCCGGTGTTTCCCGTCAACAATCATCTTCTGTAAAACTGATGGGCAAATCTACCTAAAATTTGGTCAGTAGCATCCATGTGACAGTCACACTTAAATTTGCACATGTCATCTCAATTGGTCTCTTTTAGGGGTCAACAGATCTAAAACTAGAAAAACCTTTAAACATCTTCTATTAAATTAAATTATGAATGACCACCAAAATTTGTCTGAAGCATTCTTAGGTACACTATAGCCTCATTATAATGCTCATGTTGGGGTCCAATGTTTCAACATCGCGTTCTAACTATATGCACCCATTAGAACGCTCATTGCGAAATTACCGCATTACCCCACCCACCGACTATACATATAACGCTGACGATTTTTACTTACTGTTCAATGAATATCGACATTATCTTTTTCTTAAACAATTCATGATGTAAAGATATATATTATTATATTCAGAAATAAAACTAATTATATTTAAAAGAAACAAAAAAACTTTCGAACGAAACCCATAAATCATGAATGTAGTGTTACCAGACCCTCCTGACTGTGTTTTTGATGTATTTTGTATTTTAGTCATTGCCATGCACTTTGAACTTTATGGTTGGCATAATGTGTTTTGATTGGTTGTTAGTTAGCAGTTAGCCTTAAGTTGTGTCCCCTAGTTAATCAAATGCCATTTACTTCCTGTCTTGGCCGTTCTATTTACAGTGCAGGATTTTAAATTGATTTTGGGCTTGTGTGGGTTATTTAATTTAGCGTGGTTTGCATGCCACGGGTATGTGTGTGAACTTTAGTTTATTTATACTCACCACCGGTTGTCCATGTCACAGTTATGATATGAATTTCAGATTTTGGAAACAATTTGATGCCTGACTGATGGCCAGGTAGAACAACAAAAGAGCGAATAAACGCTAACCTGGTCATGTTTTTCACACCTTTGGCGCTCATGAATGTCCTAATTACAATTGTTTATTGTACATGACTGTCAAATTGAACAAGCGTTATAGCAAATATGGCGCGCTATAAATCTAGATCTACATATTTTTTTTTTTGGGGGGGGGGGGGTGGGGGGGAGCCAAGGTCTATGAGCGCTATACTGAGATTAGTGCTATAATGAAGAGCGATATATCAAGGCTACAGTGTACTGTGAAATCGGTAATCGTGGGCATGAAATTGGAAATATGTTTAAACCTCTCCTACAGAACTATTTGATGGATGATCACCAAATTTTGTCTGTAGCAGTCTTAGGTAGTGTTTTATCAAGTTTGCTCATATTAATTTGATTTGCCCTGTTTAAGGGCAGCAAATGCTTAAAATAGAAAAACCTTTGAACATCATCTCCTCCCAGGCTTTGGCTTGCCCAGCTATTTACTATACTGTACATGTATATTTAAAAGAAAATCAAATGAAAAACAATAAAAGAATATATAGAATTCTGTACCTACCAATGAAATTTTAAGTGTCATTTCTAGTCAGCCACCGCCATTTTTAGTGTAACTCAATGATAATATGCGGGGTTTTCCAATAATAAACAATCACAACTTTTCTGATTAATAATTAATTGCCTAGTACTGCAAGTTAAAAAGGAAGCGTTGCATGAAATACCTAATGAAACCTTTAAAACAGGGGAAAAAAATTTTTTTTAAACCGACTTCTTCGTTCATAGGCTTTGCCTAATTTCATATTATGGGGAAGTCGAAACTGCGGGCCCAGGCTTTGGCTTGCCCGGCTATAGACTACATGTGTATATTTAAAAGAAAATTTAAAAAAAAAAAAAACAATTAAAAAATATATAGTTTTCTATACCTATAAATTAAATTTTCTGTGTCATATCTAGTTGTGCATCACTATTTTCATTGTAACTCAATGATTTCAGGAGGAAAGCGGTGAATGAAATACTAAATGACACCTTTAAAACTAAAAATGAACAATTATTTTAATTGATTTTCCAGTTCATAATCTTTGCCTAATTTCATATTAATGAAAACATTCAAAATTCTAAGAACTCTAGAATTTTCTGTGAGTCCTTTTTTTCAGTGTGTATACTAATTGTTTTCTAAATAGGAAAAAGACCAGACCATTGTAGCTCTCCAAAATGAAGAGTTTTATGAGGGAGATAATCCACTCAGTGAAAGTGGGGAAACAGAGAGAGTATCTAGGGGAGATGATTCAGACAGCAGTGAAGTGGAATTGGAGGAGGATGAAGAGGAAAAGTGGGGAAGATATCGGGTATTATTTGAAATTATTATTTTGGCAGGAAGTTTAATAACATAGCCTGTAAACATACTGTTGATCATTTGCAGACAACTTTTGTAGGAATGGCCGGAAACTCACCTTGTTACCATGACAACTTCATTATAACTTTGTCATATAGATACCAGTAACAAGTTGTTAAGATTCTGACTCATAAATTTTGCTGTTTACTCATATTTCTAAAGAGTTGAAAGAAATCATGCTTTTGTTATTAACATCTTTTCTGTTTATACAACTTTTTCCTTTGCCCCTGACAGTTTTACTGGTGTTGGTAGTTTTATTGATAACCAATGTCCCTGAGTTCAAAAATGACAAGAGCTTCAATATTTAATATGTAGCATGAGCTCTATTAAATGTATTTTAGTCATGCCCCTTAGATTCAGATATGAAATATGCATTAAAATAGATTTAAAGCAGCATGCCTCAAGATTCATGCTAATTTTCTTGAAAATGTTGAAATGGATCTAAAAGTAAAATATTGTGTAATGAACAAAGTAAATAATTTACATATTGGAAACTGTACTTACAATACTCATAAATTACAGAAAGAGGTCAAGATATGCAAAAATAATCCTTACTGCAGGAGTCACACGGTAGATATTTGGTGATGAATACTGAAAAAAAAACAGTTGTTAATTGTATATAACATGTATAATCAACATCACTAATTCGGCTTCATCACTTATTTCATGGTAATAGTATATTTCCATGTGACAGGTGTTTTTCCTATTTTAGTCATAATCTTAAGCAATTAAATTTTAAGGCAAACAATTTTTTTTATCTACAAGTGTTGTAGTAAAATAGAGCAAGATTTTACTCAATTCTGACAAAAAAGTCTCAAAAACCTGTAAAATTTGTGTCTAACAAAAAGTGATTTTTAAGATGTTTTAGTTTGTAGAAATGATAAATTTTGGGTTGTTTTTTGGGGTGTGGTCAGCTATGCAGAAGCTTGTACGGACTACTCCTTAGAGAATAATTGTGTAATTTCATCCAAACTTTAAAAGAATGATAACAAAGTCTTGTTGTGCATTATGCAGGCATTTTGTGGTTAAATGTTTTCTGTCTGAATAATGGCCCTTTAATTATTGTTATTTCTAAAGTTTGTCCAAACTACTTCTTATACCACTAATGTAATTTCAGTGAAACTTTACTGGATTGATCAGTAGCTCATGTACATACACATATTACACAGGGTTTTCATACATGTGAACTTTTTTCAATGTTCAAGGGGGAGAAATTACACAGGGTTTTCATACATGAGAACTTTTTTCAATGTTCAAGGGGGAGAAATTACACAGGGTTTTCATACATGTGAACTTTTTTCAATGCTCAAGGGGGAGAAATTACACAGGGTTTTCATACATGTGAACTTTTTTCAATGTTCAAGGGGGAGAAATTACACAGGGTTTTCATACATGTGAACTTTTTTCAATGCTCAAGGGGGAGAAATTACACAGGGTTTTCATACATGTGAACTTTTTTCAATGCTCAAGGGGGAGAAATTACACAGGGTTTTCATACATGTGAACTTTTTTCAATGTTCAAGGGGGAGAAATTACACAGGGTTTTCATACATGTGAACTTTTTTCAATGCTCAAGGGGGGGGAAATTACACAGGGTTTTCATACATGTGAACTTTTTTCAATGTTCAAGGGGAGAAATTACACAGGGTTTTCATACATGTGAACTTTTTTCAATGTTCAAGGGGGAGAAATTACACAGGGTTTTCATACATGTGAACTTTTTTCAATGTTCAAGGGGGAGAAATTACACAGGGTTTTCATACATGTGAACTTTTTTCAATGTTCAAGGGGGAGAAATTACACAGGGTTTTCATACATGTGAACTTTTTTCAATGTTCAAGGGGGAGAAATTACACAGGGTTTTCATACATGTGAACTTTTTTCAATGTTCAAGGGGGAGAAATTACACAGGGTTTTCATACATGTGAACTTTTTTCAATGTTCAAGGGGGAGAAATTACACAGGGTTTTCATACATGTGAACTTTTTTCAATGTTCAAGAGGGAGAATTTACTTCAAAAAGAGGGAGATTTTTTAATTGCCAATAGACATAGTAGGAAATGTTGAAATGAAAAAGAGGGAGATTTCTATTTTTTTTATAACACCCCTTATTCTAAGAAAAATATTTAAAAATTTGACAGGAGGAAGAGGGAGTCTCCTGCTCAAATTGGGAGAGTTCACATGTATGGGTTTTACGCTTGAATGATATTTTGCCAAGTTATGGCCCTTTAATAAAAAAAAAGTGTTTTGGCCTGTTAATGATTTTTATATCTCCTGCTACACAGTATCTGCAATATGCCATTGACTATCATGAGGTGACACATGTGATCACTGATCGCTCTTGTTATTGTGCCAAATGACCCAAAAAACACTTTTAACTCAAATCATCTAAGAATTGCACTGAATCTACTAAATCACTAATGTGCACTTAAAATTTAGTTCTGAGTATATATTTCTTTATAATCCTTTGCAGATTTTCCCATTTTAAGTGTTTCACTTAAGAATGTAAGAATTTCACTATGTAAGAATTTCAAATTTTATGTTTTTAGCCTTTTCGATCTCAGTTGAGTTCCATTAATTGATTACATGTAATTCTATAATAATGATAATAATAATAACGACTTTATTATGCTCCCCGAAAAATTTCGGGAGAGTGTATAGTCGTCGGGTCGTCCGTCCGTCAGTCCGTACGTCCTGAATTCATGTCCATAACTTTGTTATTTGAAGTTGGATTTTAAAACTATTTCACAGAAATGATCACTATACTGAGACGATGTGTCGCACACAACATTTGGGTTGCTACATTGAAGGTCAAGGTCACAGCATGACCTTGCAGCAAAATCGTGTCCAGTCCATAACTAGGGTATTTGAAGTCGGATTTTAAAACTATTTCACAGAAATGATCACCATATTGAGATGATGTGTCGCACGCAATATTTGGGTCGTTATCTTGAAGGACAAGGTCACAGCATGACCTTGCAGCAAAATCGTGTCCAGTCCATAACTAGGGTATTTGAAGTCAGATTTTAAAACTATTTCACAGAAATGATCACCATATTGAGACAATGTGTCATGTGCAACATTTGGGTCGCTTCCTTGAAGGTCAAAGTCACAGCATGACCTTACAGCAAAATCGTGTCCGGCCCATAACTTCGTTATTTGAAATCGGATTTAACAACTATTTCACAGAAATTATCACCATATTGAGACAATGTGTCGTGCACAACATTTGGGATGTTTTTACACTTTGAACTTTGTCTGTGACATAACTCTAACACTACAAGAGGTATCCCTTCCTGTGTCCAAAACCTATTCGAGAAGCTTCACCCGGTTCAACCGGCTCTTGTTTAAAAGAGGGAACACAGTTAAGCAAGCCCAGTCTTCCCTATGAGCCTCTTTCATAATATACATGTACATATTACATACAGTTACAATGAATGTATAAACAACAAAATATGAACAGATATTATAAAACATACAAAAACAAAAGAAGAAAAATAAGTAAACAGTTTGCAACATGACATTAAATTCATCAGCAATTTGTGTGATTTGAAATTACATCACATCTTGAAGCATTTGATTCCCACCAGAAAACCACCACTTTAAATGATTATTTTTGAATGTTTTTAAGTTGGTGGAATTTCTTACATTTAAAGGTTGGGAGTTCTAAACCTTTGAGTCTGAATAAAGTGATATTCTGCAGAAATCAAGTCTAGGTTTTGGGATCGAAAGTAGTCTTTGATCATATGATCTTAGTTGTATATTTTTTGTGTTGATAATTCTAATTGCACTTACTTGTTTATTTGAATGGGGACAAAACTTAAAATAGCTGAAGATGTCAGTTAACTAATGAAACACCATCTGGTGTCAGCAAGACATTTTTCTTTCTAAATTTGATACTTCTATGTATCTTTTGACTTTTATGAGGGAAATATTTGTATGGATTGTTTTTGATACATTTCAAAGGTTACATGAAACACAGTTTCATACAAACTGTGAAAATGAAAAAAAGTGTTAGGCTTTTGTTTCAACATTGATTGAGTATATTCTTTTCTATAGCCTAGCCTTGTCTTTTATGTGAAAATGTCCATTGTCATAAAAAATTTCAGAATAAAAAAGTCATTATTATTGAGGCAGGACAAAATACACAAAGGGAGTGGTGACCTAGTTGTTAAGATGTCTGGCACTCAACCCAGGTTCAAGCCTTACTCGGATTACAACTGTTTTTCATATGACCAGCTTTTGGTTAGTTCCATGATGAGGGCTTGTTTTAAGATAGAATACATTACATTTTGAGATAGAATACAATTGATTTTAAGATAAAATATAGTTGATACAGTAGTTGTGCTCCCCAAAGGGTGAGCATATAGTCACCGCTTTGTCCATCGGTCCGATTTTTGTCCAGGACATAACTTTGAAACCAAAAGAGGTATCAACATGAAACTTTCTAGGTAGATAGATCTTATTAGGTAGATGTGCAGTGCAGAAGAACCATAACTTAATTTTCGAGTTATTGCCCTATGTTCCTTTTTACACTTTGAACTTTGTCTGAGACATAGCTCTGACCCATAAGAGGTATCAACAAGAAACTTTGAAGGTAGATAGATCCATCAAATTGCCGTGTTGACTTTATAAGTTATTATTTTATTTTTGTAGAAATCACTAAAGTATGACTCTGTACACAAAGTAAGAATGACCAGTACAATCAGTGTGTGTTATCTCGGATTGATGTATACCAACCCCATGACAACAGTGACTGATCTCATCAGGTAAAATATTCAAATACAAATGCATTTTCTTTCTTTTTATCTGCTCATTAAAAAAAATGTCATATGGTATTGCCCTTGGCATGCGGCATCAAGACTGACTTTTTGATAACCTTCACCTTCAAACAAAAGGTTAATAAGTTTCCATGAAATTTGCCAAAAAACTTTGTGTGTTGTAAGTTTATGTGAAGACCTCCCTTAGTATTGCTTTCCCCCTAGAGTCAAGGGTCACTGTTACTAAAATTAGAAAATTTTGTTTCCAGTTAGTAACTAGACTTTGGAATGAGATAATTCAATGACCTTGCTTGGGATTGCTTCTGAGCCCTCTGGTTCAAGGTCAAGGTCACTGTTACTAAAAATATAAATTTGGTTTTTGGTCAGAAACTAGAGTTTGGATTAAGATCATTCAATGAAAATAGGTATGTGGTAAACATATGTGAAGACTTCACTTGGGATTACTTATTTTCCCTAGGGTCAAGGTCACTGTTACTAAAAGTAGGAAAACAGTTTCTGCTCAATAACAAGAGTTAGGAATGAGATCATTCAATGTAACGTGGTGTATAACGTAGTGATGAGCCGATTAGCGGGTATAATCTATTACCTTCTAGAAAAGTCCAACCGATTCCGATAATCGATTGTGTTTTCTCAGAATCGATCATGGGTATGAATACAGTATAGTCGAATCTTTAGAAATTTCCTATCCAGGGCCATCCATAAAAAATTGTTTGTTTGTAGTGCTCCGACCGACCCATGAAAATTGCCCCGACTCAAAAAATTTTTTACACCTTCGAGGATTTTTTTTTTTTAAACCATCATGCACCCATTCTATTAAAAAAAGAACTTTCTCCAATAACTTTTCAGACAAATTTTGAACTGAGAAGTAGAAGAGTAAAGAATGTTATCCCAAAACCAAAATAAACACACGCTTTCCAAAATTTGACCCCGAACATAGGCGATTTCACATCGCCAGAAACCCTAAAATTTCGCAAAGGGCATAAAAATCCTCAGTTTCCAAGCCAAACATGTGAATGAATTGTTCTTTAGTTATTTAACCAACATTAAATCTTATAAAAGTCAATCCCCTTTTGAAGATATTAGCATCCCCTTTTGAAGATATTTGCTAAAATAATTGCCGATCGGATGAATCTCTTACACACTGTGTGAAGCTGTACACTTACAAACTTGCTTGCATGATTTCAGTCGGCCATTTTCCCTAGCCATGTAAGATAACTCCCTGTTTCCCTGTCTAAAATTCCACCAAATTATTCCCCTTTCAAATGAACTCAAAGAAGGGACATTTTAAAAAGACTTTGTATTTATTTATTCGATTTTTTGTTCAGAAACGGACAATTTTTTCTTTACCTTTGTTTAATTTGCTTTCTATCTATATATGGTTCCTATGGTAAACATATGAGTTTTGATGGTAAACAAATGAATTTTCTGAACCGAAAGTAATCTAACACACAGCGTTGCTGTCATCACATGTAAACAATACATTAAATCGGTAAGAATATTGAGATATTTGTTTGACTATCAGTTTCAAATGGAAAATACTAATATGGAAAACAGCTATGTGTAGTTTATGTGTATTGTTTTAATGTGTTTGTCTGATTTAGTTGTAAAAGCCATGTACACTTAGTGTCGCTTCATAGCAACCGAGTTTAAACGTGAGCGGTAACTGAACGAGATATGGCAAAGCGCATGCTCGTGCACTGACTTCCGCTCTATCGAAATACTGCATATACATATAGCGAAAGTTCGTAAGTGCTGTACTCGATTTTCCTACTCATTTCACTAAACGCTGCCTATATATACATACAGTATATGGAAATGATACCCTCATGATGGTATTTTTACAAATATAAAGTTTTGTTCTTTAGACTTTAGAGTGAACATATTTAACCAGAATAAAATTTGATTTATTTTTGGTATAAAAGTGAAAAAACGATTGCAACCTTGCTTCAAAGATAATATACATACATCAATGAATGTGAAAATGGACTACCCTCCGTAACCATAGGCCACCATTGTATACATATATTTTTACACAAAATAATACCAGAAGAACTTTATTGTTGACATAAATTAATTTAAATCATTTTTCCATTCATGATTGTCATAAAATGAGGTTGCACTAAAACTTGTTGAAAAATACAAGTTATGTGATAAAATTTTCGCAGGAAAATCGCTGGATGGGTCTTTTTCTGATACTTTTAAATAAGTTATACCTGTGTTTTCTTCATAAGAATGATAATTATTCATAAATTTTACCTTTTCCTAAATTGTACTTTAATAGCCACATTTTTAGCTCAATTTTTTTTTTTTTTGAAAAAAAAAAGTAGAGGTATTGTTATAGTCCCAGCGCCGTTGCCGTAGCCGTTGCCGTCTGCAAACTTGTACCTGGATCATAAATTTTTTATTTCTTGATGTATTGTCTTCATACTTGGCCACAACAACCCTTGGGACAAGACCTTTCAGTAGACCACACTAACCTTGACCTTCATCCATAAATGACCTTGACCTTCAAGGTTAAAAGTCCAAATTTTGCTTGTTCATGCTGTTATTGGCTGTAACTTTGTTATTTTTGAATGGATTGTCTTCAAACTCGAACATAATATTCTTCAAGGATATCCCTTAAAATAACCAGACAGACCTTGACCTTCTCTCATAAATGACCTTGACTTTGAAGGTCAAATTATTGAAATATTCATTTTTTTGGCTATTATTGGCTGTAACTTTGTTATTAGTCCCCTACCAGTTTAACCGGAGGGGACTTTAGGTTTAGTCCGTCCGTCTGTCCGTCCGTCTGTCTGTCAGTCCGTCCACAAAACTTGATCCCGCAATAACGCAAAAAGTACTAAAAATATTTTTATGAAACTTGATATATGGACAGATGGCAGTATGGAGATTATGCACGTCTTTTTCTTTTGTTCCTATGTTGAAAATTCTGGTTGCTATGGCAACTAAATAGTTTGAAAATATGGCAAATTTAACACATAAACTGAATCCAGTGATAACTCAAAAAGTACTGAAAATATTTTTATGAAACTTGAAATATGGGTAGATGGCAGTCTGGAGATTATGCACATCTTTTTCTTTTCTTCCTTTGTTGAAAATTCTGGTTGCTATGGCAACAAATAGCCTGAATTTCAAGATTTCTGATTTAAATTTTTCAGTTTTTTCACTATACGTTCTTTATTTCTTAAGGTGTTTACTTCAAACTTTAAATATAAGTTTCTGGTCATCAACCACATCATAATTATGTGACAAGGTTTACAACTCTAGCACAAAAATTATCAGTATTACCTCCCTTGAACTTAGAATTTTATGGAAAAAATTTAATGTTGTCTTTTTTAAAATGTCTTTTTTTAAATAACTTCTTTAGTTCCTAATGTATCTACTTCAAACTTCATATATATGTTTCTTATTATCACTCAACATTTTTGAGAAGGTTAGATACTCTAGCAAGACTATTTCCAGAATTATGTCCCCCTTGAACTTAGATTTCTTTCGAGAAATTGGTATTTTTTACTCCAACTTCTTCATTCCTTATAGGATTTACTTTAAAATCCCACATTGTAATAATATGACAAGGTTGTATAAACTTAATTTCCTTACTAGGCAGGGAAACTTAACACATTACTGTGATATAGACAAACTTATAACTCAAAAGATTTAAGTTCATTCATGTCATTCATTCACTGGTAAAATTGAATGGCCAATGGCCCATCAGAATGTTGCTGGGGTTCTAACCGGTAGGGGACTTATGAATTGCTTGCAATACTATGATAATTGCTTGTTTTTGAATGGATTGTCTTGAAACTTGAACAAAATAATCTTCAAGGATATCCCTTAAAAATAACCAGACAGACCTTGACCGTCACTCATAAATGATCTTGACTTTGAAGGTCAAACTATTGAAATATTCATTTTTTTGGCTATTATTGGCTGTAACTTTGTTATTTTTGAATGGATTGTGTTGAAACTTGAACATAATAATCTTCAAGGATAACTCTTAAAAATAACCCAACAAACCTTGACCTTCACTCATTAATGGCATTGTCTTTGAAGGTCAAATTATTGAAATTTTCATTGTTTTGGCTGTAACTTTGCTATTATTGAAGGGATCAACTTCATATTATAACAGCCCATTCTTAAGTGTTAATCAAACCCAAATTTGCTTGGGCTCTTTAATGACCTTGACCTTGAAGGTTAATCATCATCATCAACAACAACAACAACAACATTGCGTGTTACTAATTTAGAATTGCGTGTTACTATTTTTAGAATTGTGTGTTACTATTTTTAGAATTGTTACTATTTTTAGAATTGCCTGTTACTATTTTTAGAATTGCGTGTTACTATTTTTAGAATTTCGTGTTACTATTTTTAGAATTGCATGTTACTATTTTTAGAATTGCGTGTTACTATTTTTAGCTCGACTATTCGTAGAATAATCGAGCTAATGCAGTCACCAATTTGTCGGCGTCGGCGTCCCTGTGGTTAAGTTTTTGTATGTAAGCTGGTATCTCCATAACTACTGAAGGGAATGGATTGAAACTTCACACACTTGTTCTCTGTGATTATCTAAGATGATTGGCACAAGTCCCATAACTCTGATTTGCTTTTCTTCATAATTATGCCCCTTTTTCGACTTAGAAATTCGTGGTTAAGTTTTTGTATGTAAGCTGGTATCTCCATAACTACTGAAGGGAATGGATTGAAACTTCACACACTTGTTCTCTGTGATTATCTAAGATGATTGGCACAAGTCCCATAACTCTGATTTGCTTTTTTACATAATTATGCCCCTTTTCGACTTAGAAATTTGTGGTTAAGTTTTTGTATGTAAGCTGGTATCTCCATAACTACTGAAGGGAATGGATTGAAACTTCACACACTTGTTCTCTGTGATTATCTTAGATGATTGGTACAAGTTCCATAACTCTGATTTGCTTTTTTACATAATTATGTCCCTTTTTCGACTTAGAAATTCTTGGTTA